TTAGCTGAATCACTCCATTTGAATAAGAAAACAAATTGTTAATAACAATTAATTGTAAATATGGACAATAATTCATTGTATTCGTTATTTATTCATTAATCTATATTATTTGGCTCTGTTACTATTATAGTTTCAAACAGAACCTGCTATTTATTTTGCTGTTTCCGGCCCTATTGTGCGAGGTGAGTATTAAAACAATTGATAATAATAAGCAAGGTCCATGATTCATTACACTATACTGTTTAAAAGTCACGGAAGGTTCAGTCAGTCCCTTGGCTTATTGTAGCTTCTGCTAATGCAACTGAACATCCTTTATTACGATCAAAGAGATATCTCCTCTTATGAATATATCAGGTCACAGTTCACATTTACTATCGTGACAGACCAGAATTTTTGATACACATCAAATTATCCACGGGTCTAGGTCACTTTACCAACAATCAAGTAAGGTTTCTAGCCCAAACTGTTTCTCAAAGCTCGAACTATTTTGGCAATTTGGGCTTTTTAACATTTTTTATATAATAAAGGTGTGAATTTTAACATTCCAAATCATTGCTCTTTTTTTTTTCATAAAAATTCAAGAAATTATGTTTAAAAGTATTAAATGCGAGAGAAAAGATTTATTTATTTAAAAACAATTTAAAAAAATAACATGAAGTCCGAATATGTAATTTTTATCAATTTCGTCAGACAAAAAAAAAAAAATTACACATGTATCTATATTGTATTTTTATAACTGGTTTTTGATGTGAAGTAAGATAATAGAGTTAATTATTTGTAGTGCAAGGTCAGTACTCGATGAACAGTTGATTTAACTTGCCTGTAAAAAACCAAACTTTTAGTTTCTACATAGAGTTATTCAGGTCTTCACACAGTCCTTGGCGAATTGTTAACACGATGCTTGTTGGTAAAGTATCTGTCTGTAAAGTGGACGGGACCGTTACCCACCACACAAGGAACAAGTTGAAGATGTACGAAACTCATTGTTCATGACAAAGCTGTTTCACGCATGCCCACGTGGTATCTATTGCATACACAACTACTACCAACTGTCATTTTTTCACACAGCCTTCTGCTCATAAATAAATGATTTAATTGCAAATGACATCAACGACATCCGCCATAGAAATCAAAGATTATTTATATCAAGGTAATATATGATATAATGAGATATATGAACCATATTCGTAGACATTAGTGATAGCCAGCAGGGATTAGAATTTACTCCCGTTATAATGGCATTCATTATGTATCCCGTTATAAGAGTAAGGACATAATTGGACAAAAAATTTTTTTATAATAATAATTATAAAATTCATCCCGTTATATATTAATATAGTGACATCCGTTATAAGGACATGTCAGTACAACGAGAGAACCAATCAAATCACTCAAATCACTATGACAAAATCAGATAGCTAATTATTTACGTTTTTATTACTAATACTAAACACATTAAACACAAATTACTTACATCAGATTTATTATCATTAACACTAACAATAATCAATTCGCAAATTGTTTTGGTGGTGACAAAGTATCTATTATTTTCAAGAATGGGTTTGTGAATTGTAACAAAGTATCTTTACGTTTTTGATTGATCTCTTTTTATTGTTTTTTTTGATGATGATGAAATACTTACAGTGATGAAATATTTTACATTTTTGACAATAAAGAAATTTATTCACAATTGTCTTTTTTTTGATAATGTTTTCAAACAAGACTATAAAAGAATTATGAATTATCCAATACTTAACTAAAAATTTTTGCAAATTTTTAAAACCATTTTTTTCTAAACCTTTTAATCATTAATGATTATAATTATAAGCTTTTGCTAAATTGTTGATTTTAAAATAAGTTAATAATTTCTAAAAAAATTTTATAATCATTTTTTAAGTCATGTGATTTCTTATGAACTCCTGTTATAAGAACATCTTGTTATATGGACATTTTTTTGCTTGTCCCATGAGTGTCCTTATAACGGGAGTGACCTGTATATATAATGTCTATATAAACAAAAAATAACATTTTTATTTCTTATATTCCCATTTATTACCATTTCGTCTTCATTCTCATGCTCAGACTATTGCTACTGCTTTTAAGCTATTGTTTCTATTTGAAAAAGTTAATTGGTGATCCACTTATGAAACAGTGAAATGATCGACATTTCTATAATAAACGGGGGAAATTATTATATAAATGATCAACATAAAAAATCCACAAGTATAGTTGGCTTGGTCTAAAGACCTCCTAAATTTTAGGCAAATTTTAAAAGTATAGAAGTCACTTTCTGTCCTAACTTTTAAAAAAATAGCTCTATTATTCGATAGAATATGTCTTTAGTTTTAATGTAATAGAGAGATTTTCTCAAAAAAAATATTTGTTGTAGAGTTCTATTCTTTTTTAAAACATGTACTTTACTATGCTCGCGAGGAATTTGTCCACTATGATTAT